ATGGAATGTATTTAATCAAGAGAAATTTTCGGGTACCATCGTGTTAACGGGCCAGGGTTATAGTCAGGGAAGATACATAGCCGAGGCCGACCATACAATGTGTGGAAACAGTGCAGTGCATCTTAAATCGCAAGCGATCAATATGTTGAGGGGGGGGGGTCACCGTGCGATAACACGTCGGGTCTTGCAAGATGGATGTAATGCAGGAAGACTGGCCGGTGCACTCTGTGATGATGACGCTGGTGACAGGAGCCGGGGGGAGCCGCTGCTGTGCTACCGAGACGCCTTCCCCAAGAACAGAGATGAGGAGGGGCTGTGGGGGGAGAGAGATCACGTTCAGGTTCTGGACCTGGAAGGTGAAGGAGATTCGATGCCCGGCATCGAAGCAGCGGCTGAGGGAGACGTAGACTGAGTCTGCACTCGGCCTCCTGCACCACTGCTGGTCCACCACAGAGCCGAACCGCACCAGGTTGGTTCTGTTGGAACGCGCGCACATCCACTGCAAGTCATCGGCAGCCTTCCAGAAGAAACCTTGAGCCGAGACGCCCTCGCCGACGACGTTGATGTTGGACTCGATAATTTCTCCCGTCTTCACCATGTTCGTCCCCGACGGCTCCCACCTTCTGACATCTCGGAGGCCGGAGACCTGTACCCAGCAACCGGCCGCTAGCCTGACGTTCGTCTCCAGCTGGACCGTTAGCTCGTTCATCTCCAGCTCGACCTTCTGGGTCTCGCTGCCCTGCAGGAACAGGAACGAGGGCTGCGAGCTGGAGTTTGCGAAGAACAGCTCGCCGAGGGTCACGTTCCCCCTCACTCTGCTCCGAAGCACCTTGAAGCTCCCGCTTGGATGCGCCGCCTCGAGAAACAGCTGGGGTGCGCTCGTCCTCGGTCTGAGCGAGTTGCGGAGGGAGAAGCTCAGGTCCAGCCCGTAGACTTGCTGGAACGATGGGAGGACGGCGAAGATGAGTGTACCAGCGTTCTGATCCCACGAGCCCGAGAAGGAGGGAGGGAGGTCAGTGCCCAAGATCGGGACGCCTCGTCGGCAGACGGCTGAGGACGATTCGAAGATGCAGGAAGTGCCGGTGTCGCAGGTAGGAGGAGCAAGCTGGGGAGAGCAGAGGGCGGGAGGGGTCGCCATGTCAAGAAGGCCAGAGAGGGTGATTAGGGTGCCGGAGGGGATGCTGATGTTCGTCTGGAACGAGAGAGAGATGGAGTTGATTCCGTTTCCCACCTGAGAGCTCCCTAGCACGGGGTTGCTCTCCGTAGCGGTCGCGTAGAAGTAGAGGTTCGTCTGCGCCAGCACGTCGATGCCGATCGCTGGCGTGTAGGTTTGGAAGCGGAAGCCACCTCCCCGCGCGATGATACTCGGGTAGAGGACTTGGTTGCCGGTCGTGGGGTTCTTGAGGTCGAACTGTACCTGGATGCGGGGGAGGCAGACGTCGTCCTTGGAGGGGGTCGAGCATGTGGCGATGCCGTCGGGGGGGCGGAACTTCAGCTGCCCCCTCCTCCAGTTCCAGCTGCCGATCCCTTGCGAGAGCTCGACGCTTAAGGAGATGACTGCTCGAATCGCCATCTCCCCGAAGGAGCATCCCAGCTTGCTCACGTCCGGGCTCGGGACCAGCTCGACCTGCAAAACCTGAAGGCACCGTGAGAACCATCGAGAATATTACAATCTCCTCCTCCACCTCCACCTCCTCTTCACTCCTTTCCTCTTCTCCTCCTCTTCTCCATTCGCTCTCTTCCTCCTCCTCCTTCCCCTCCCTCCCCTCTTCACTCCTCCCCTCTCCTCCTTCTACTCTTCCCCTTTCCATTTCCCCCCCCTTTCCTCTCTCTTCTTCCTCATTCCCCTTCCCCGCACTCTTCCTTATCGCATTACATTGCCGTAAAGCCCCACGAGGTCCTGCAAGTCGAAGTTTCGTAGGACTGTTCTCTTGTCGAGGCTGCACGGACCGCAACCCTGCCATGGCCCAGCGCTGTAGCGAGTGCTAGGGACCATCGTCCCATCCTGGCAACGGGAGCCTCCTTCTCTCCACTGGCAGATGATGATAGAGGAGATGAACTTCTTGCTTGCTCCGAAGTCGATGCAGAAGACGGACACCTGGTGGGCAGGGTCAGTACAAGGGCAGCAGCATCGTCGCCCTTACGTCGAGGGTCGTTCGGTGTAGCGACAATGACGACACGGAGTCTAACATCTTAGACACGTTGACCATGGCCGAGCAAAGGTCACTTCCTTGGCAAGTGACCTCGTTTGTGAGCCGAAAGTTACCCAGCAGCAGACCGAACCTTGAGTTGTCGTTGGTCTGCGGGAAAAGTCAAACTCACTTCGCTTGCCATTCCTTTCCCTCTATCGTCCTCATCCTTCAAGATGATTGCTGTTCCCTCTCATTCATCCTCACTACCTCCTCCCCCTCTCCCTCCTCCCCTGCCCTTCCGCTTCTACTGATGGCTGCCATCTATGCGCCAGCGAAAACATCTCAACGCGTTCCAACTTCACTCACCAATGTATTGGTGATTCCTGTCACAGTGATAGCGGCATACTCGGGGAAAGTGACGGGGATGTTTGACAGCAGCTGCAACGTGTATCGATATCCCGTACTGAGCCTGTCGTTGCTGGCCTTTAGCTCGACATGAACCCAATCAAGAGGGAGCGACGCGCTCAGCACCCCGTCCCCTCCGAACACTGAGCTGGCAGCGGTGGCAGGGACATACAAGCTGGAGGAGGAGGAGGAGGAGGAGGAGCAGAAGGAGACAGAGGGGTACTTGGAAGGCTGGGAGGAGGAGGGGTTGATGAGGGCAAAGGAGATGTGCTGCCAGTCTCCAGAGTCGTAGGGGATGGATGGGATCGTGAGCTCGCCTGCTAGCTGGGACCAGGCTCCCTGCACCCACAGGCTGGTCAGCAAGAAAGCAGCTTGGCAAGGCAGTACTCTTACCAAGACCGAGTGGGTCGACAAGAGGCTTTTCCTGACCTTGATGAGAATCTTGGCGTCAAGCAAGAAGCCGCCGCACGTCCCTGCGTTCACTTGAGAGGTCACGCCCGCCTGCCACATGTCAGAGGGGAGGGGGAGGCAGGAGGAGGAGAACCTGCACGACTATCTCTTTTCCGAGCCTTCCTGTAAAAGAGGAGATAGAAGTCTCTTGCAGCATCGTAACGAAGGTACCGCAGGCGTTGCTGCAAGAGGCGAAGGGCCCGGGGCTGAGGAGCTGCGCGAGGCTGTTGCCGTTGACGCTGAGCGACTGGAGTCCCTCCCCGCAGCTGTCAAAGTCGCTGCATGCTACGTCGACTCGGAGAAGGACGTCAAGGATCTGCTCTCCATTAGCCAGGAAGCCGCTGAGCCTTGTAGAGCAGGTGGTGTTGCTCCTGCAGGAGAGCACGTGCTCCTCGTCCACCACTGTGTTGCCGTAGATCAGCAGGCTCGCCGTGTCCTCCGTCTGCGTCCCGGTAAGACCTGAGATGGTGAGGATGCCGGAGGGAGGACGACTGGGGAAGCGGAAAAGGAAGTTGATGATGTTGCTCTGCGACGGCATCTTGCTGCTCTCGAACGCCGCGAGGAATCCGAAGCTCCCAGCTGCGCTCGTAGCTGGGCAGACATTCTGGATGGTCAGGGAGATGCCGGTGGAGATCCAACCCTGATCGGTTGGGCTGGTGGGAGGAGGGATGAAGAGGCAGAGCTGGTACGTGAGGGGGACGAGGAAGTTGCTGGACTTCAGGATCGATGTGTCCATGGCAATGAAGGAGTTGAAACCTGGAGCGAGCAGGAACAACGAGTGTCCTGAGCGGGAGGGGCCGGCGAGCGCGTTGTTTGCAACGGCAGTGTCCGTGCAGTCAGCCCTGCTCATGATCAGCGAGGCCTTGGTTGCCTTCTGCAGCTGAGCGCTGCCCTCGAACGCCATGGCGACTCCGTCGGACTTGAGCAGGACGGCAGACTGAGCGCGAGGCTGGCTGTTCACCTTGATGTACGTAAGGGTGTCCTGCAGACGGCAAGAAATCCCCGTGGAGGAGAAGAACTTGTCCGTCCTTCCCCTGTAGCAAACCTGGTAGAGCCCGGGCAGCATGATGGCGAGCTGGGAGGGGAGGAGCACCGTCCTGCTCGTGTCCTGGAAGATGAGGTGGCCGGTGGAGTTCGCGCTTGCCCCTGCTGGGTTGTTGTTGGGGTTCGAGCAGCTGAGGGTTGCGGGGATCATGGAGAGCGTCTCTCCCGGCTCTCCGATCCTGCTCCTGTAGTAGCTGAACTTTGCGCCCTCGCTCCTGGGAGCAGCCGCCCTGAGGCCATAACGAGGCATCACGTCGTTGACAACCACCCCCAGCACGTCATCGTGAACTCGCAGCGACAGTCCCGTGCTCCTCCATGTGCTGCTTCCGGCTTTGCGGAAGCAGATCTGATAGACTTCGTAGTCCAGCAGCCCCTCAGCACTCAAGAAGGTGTCGATGACGACGGAGGAGGAGGAAGAGTCCGTGGGGAAGGTCCTGTCGGTTGTCTTGGCGCTGAGAGCGAGGAGCGAGTTCACGGCCACCTCGTCCTCGCAAGAGAACCAGTTGCCAATGAACGTGACGGCGTCTCCGATCCTGCCGGGGGTGGAGCAAGAGGAGTCAAGGCAGTAGCCAAGGAGATTCCCTCGCTCCTTGAGGGCAGAGGAAGACAAAGCAGAGACCTCGTTGACCACCAGGGAGAAGATCTCCTGCTGGATTTCAATCACGATCCCGGTGCTGACGAAGGAGGAGGAGGTATTCGACTTGAAGCAGATCTGATAGAAACCCGTGCTCATGCTCGGCACACCTGAGAGATCGACAAACGAGAAGAGGTTGTCGACGGCGCTGATGTGACCTGAGAACTTCGAGCCCAAGGCTGGCGGGTTGTCGTCCCTCAAGGTGCAGTCACCGCTCAGCAAGATGAGGGAGATCTTGTCGCTGGTGCTCCCCGTCAGCTGATTTCCAGACAGGATCCTCAAGATGTTCTGAGATGACTTGGGCATGGCGACTCGCAGGCCGTTGTTGGGAGTGCAGTCGTTGACGGTGAGCTGAATCACGTCCTCCTGCACCTTGACGGCTATCCCCGTCGTCATGAACGTCAAGGCGCCCGACGGCTTGAAGCAAACTTGATAGAGGCCGACGCCGAGAACTCCGACGGGCCCGAAGAGATTGTCCACCAGGTTGATGTCAAGCGTCTGGTAAGGGCTGAGCGTGTTCATGTGTAGGTACTGACCGGCGGGGCCGAGCGGGGGGTTGTCGTTGACGAGGTCAAGGCAGTTGAGCTGATGGGGGATAAAGGAGACTGAGCCGACCGAAGTTAGCCTTATAAGGTTCCCAACGTTCTTTGCCACGACAGTTCGCAGGCCAGGGTTTCTGCCCTCTTGGTTGGGGGTGTATGTGAGAGGCATGTTCACGAACAGGCCCGTCAACGCTGATTGGGGAGAGGTCAGGAGTCCAGCCGTACGGAAGCCTGTGTCCACACTAGTCGGCGACGTGCCGTTGGGGCGGAAGCAGATCTTGTAGGTAGAGGTCGGCAGCTGAGTGAGAAAGAGAAGCGGCGAGAAAGTCAGCGAGTCAGGGCCAGAAGCTGACGACAGGGAAACCAAACTGAGCCGACCTGAAGTGATCCCGTCAAAAGACGCTGGGATGTGCGAGGGGTTCTCGCAGTCCAGCCGGGGGGGGAGGAGGGAGATTTCATCTCCCAGCACCGGAGCTCGAGGCCCAAAGGAAACGAGGGTGACCTTGGGGTCCGTCGGGATGGCTGTGATGATCCCAGCGTTGGGTCTGATCCCGTTGACCTGTCAAATGGATCAGCAGGGGAGGAGGAGAGCCGGTAACGGCTGGCTTACCTGCAGTCCAGCAATCTCAGTCTGCAGAGTCAAAGAAATCCCTGAGTTCATGAAACCGGCAGCGGATTGAGATGCCGAGGTATAGCACACAGTGTAAGTGGCTGGGACGAGGCTGCCGCTCGTCCCGAAGATTCGACGGGTCTCCGTCACATTTGCGGGCTGTCCAGGACCTGAGAAAGTCAGCTGCAGGCTGATGCTTGCTTGGGTGCAGTCCTCATTTGCTCTCATCAGCCCGATAGAGATTTTCGCTGTGGCCCCATAGTACACGAGGCTGTGGAAGTCGAAAGGTGGCAGCCTGATCCTCTGGCCATCTCCTAGGTTGTTGTTCCCTCCTATGGCTCCGTTGAGCTCGATGCTGGTAATGGAGTCTTGTATCTGCACAGATACTCCCGTAGGGCTCCAGACAGGCCAGCACTCGAAGTAGGAGCACGCAGCAGCAGGCCTGAAGCACACCTGATAGCTTCCTCTCGGGGTGAAGGAGAGATTGACCAGCCGCCGTTCCGTGGACGGGCTGCAGGAATTCTCAAACGAACCGAGGCAGGTGGTTGACCCGAGCACTTTGTCATTCCCGTGAGCGCTCAAGAAGTTGGAGGCGGCGAACTGATCCGGCACGCTTGGGTCGCACTCCTTGATCTTCTGCGTTTGGCAGAGGTCGCTGCAGCTTTTCCAGACCTCAATCAAGGCAACGGAGTCGCCAGGACTCCCATCATTCACACTCAGATACTTCAGCACAATCTTGCTTGTCTTCGGAATCGTGACCTTCAGCCCATTCAGAGGGCTCAGCCCGTTGACTTCAAGACCGAAGATCAGTTTCTGTACCGTCAGGTATGTTCCTGTCGATGACCAAAAGCTGCTCCCCGCTTTTTTGAAGCAGAGCTGGTAGGTAGCTGGCGGTAGAAACCCACCTGACTTCAAGATACTGTCTACGGCAGACTGCGGACCAAGAAATCCAGAGGATGCTGGAGAGAGGAAACCCGAGTATCCTTGCGTTGGAGAAGCTGGGTTCGTTGAGGATTCACACATTTGAGCGACAGGGATGAAGGAAACTTGATCTCCAGCCCCAAGGGTTGAGGTACAATTCCAATTGGTACACACCCTAATCAGTTGATTCAAAGCTTGTGGGACATAAATACTGATCGCGGGGATTCCGTTCGCTTCGATGTGAGCAACCTTTGATTGCAAGTTGACGAAGACCCCAGATTCCAACCAGTTGGTTGACCCAGCAAACAGATTATAGCAGATCTTGTACATTCCACTTGTCATACTGTTGAGCGCTTGTGAAGGATAGATGTAATTCAGACCAGACACTAGTACAGCTTGAGACGAAGTTGAAGCTTTGCTTGTAATACTTGAGCATGTTTTCTCTGGTAGAATTGCAGCTATATCTCCCAGTGCCTGTGATTTTCGGTTGTATGTGGAGAGTTTTGCTTTTATCTGCTTGGTACAATCTGAAAAATTACAGATCTGCTGCGGAATCGTCAAATTGTATCCAATCACATCATCCAGTTGAATTCCTATCAGATTATCTTGAACTTCCATGTTCCCACCAAGAAAGCAGGCTCCCGTTTTCGAAGAGGCTGGGCAGATGCACATCTTGTTGATAGCTGGTGAAAGTTTGGTGAAATCCATAACAGCACTTCGCAGGTCGCCTACTGTTGCGTTGGTCAACGCGCTCGCTGAGATTGTGGCCAAGGCAGAGGTGCAGCTGCCGGCAGAGCTGATCATGTACAACTTGTCTCCACTTGCAGGGACTTGATTGGTGTTGTATGTCCCTCCCAACAAGATCCGGAGGGAAGTCCTCGGAACTATCATGGTGCCCCCCACTGCTCGTCCTGGAGAAGCTTCCAAGTAAAGATCTGCATGGGACGATGGGAGGGAGGGCAGGAGGAGGGCGAGCAGCAGCACCGGCTGCACGAGCATGGCTTCCCTCATACCCTGCTTGTCGGCATTGGGCGACCCTCCGATGCCAGGGACCTCGACGAGGAAGAAAATAAAGATGTCAAACATTGACTAATTGTGCAGGATCATTTGAACTATTCATATCGAGTGTGCCTCAGACTCTGATAGTGATGTTTTGGAAGCAGCCAAGATACAGTTAGATCAGTAAATCGCTGCCCCAAACTTTCCTTCTTGGGACCCATGGCGGGTTTCAAGAGACCTTTCCGCCATGGCAGCACGTGGAGCTCGAGAGAGAGAAGATGGTGATCAGAGTGCTTTCCAAGACAGCTGCCCCTCCCTCCCTCCATGGCACCCTGAATGCCGAAGTCCATGATCGTGGGCATGTGCCGGAGCAGGCTCAAGGATCGGCACAGTCCCTCCCTCCTCCAGCCCCTGAGCCCCTTTCAACGCATGCGCAGACAAGTTCGGGTGAGCGGATAGCACAGGAGCCTCGTTCAACCAGGACAAGTCAAAGAGATGGAAGCAGGGAGGCGCCTCCGGCCTTTCCATCTCCGTCAAACCGCTCCATCAACGAGAGCTGCGGACGACCGCGAAATCCTCTTCCCAGGGCAGGAGAGGCTCAAAGGACTTTCGTGATGGGCGCGGCACTGCCGGAGGTACATCGGAGAGATCCGGGTAGGGTGACTGAGCGAGGTAGCGCTCACCAACACCCTTCCGTGAGCACTCCGCCGCAAGTGCCCTCGGTCCGAAGGCCACAAAAGGACTCCACTCAGAGGGGGGGTCAAAAACAGCCGGGCAAGGATGTTCCCAGCACTGAAAGGTTTACTCTCATTCCCTCTTGCCTGGGGATTCACAACTTTTAATCCTCAGAGTGAGACTGGGACAAGCGCTGAGAGGACATGTCCCACGAAATGCCCCAGCGAATCCGAGGAGATTTCAAGCGGGTCAAACGATGTGATGATTCGTATTGTATGCCTTTTGGAAGAGTGAATGATATTGCAGGTCGGTGAACATTTCTGTGAAGGAGATGTCGTTGGCTGAAAGTTTGCGGGATACTACAGTGAACAGAAGGCTTCCCAGAGCAAGTCACTCGATCCATTCGATTTCGTCAGGAGCCGAAAGTGAAGTTTCGTCAAGCACATTTTCGACTGCTTCTTTGTCAGGACTGAGCTCGTTGTCACTGACCAAATCTCCTAGACTGCTCGTCTCTCCTGAACAGCTGCATAACAGTGTTGACCCTGTAAGAATACGAACCCTCATTTACACTAATCGGTCGCTTACTGGTTTACAACTCAGGGCCCAAGCAATCAGCAAACTTCTGACACCTTGCTTTGGGTCGGATCAGTCGAATATTACAAAGCTCAACGACAAGCTGGTTGCTCATCATTTCCTTTTAGTCAAATCTGATGGAAGCCAGGCCGATACGCTACAGAGAGCGACGCTGGTGATATGGATTTCGTCAACAACATTAGAGTACTGCACATGGGGCAGAGCGTTGCTAAGGTAAGATGTTGTATCTAAAGCAAACACCTCTCACCTTCTGCTTCGAAGGCAATTCAAAGCGAGATGATAAACACGCAGGAGGACTTGCAGATCTTGCAGTGGGATCTGGAGCACGAAGACTCGTTTCCTGACGTGACGGCAACCAAGGTGATCACTCCTTTGGCTCACCAACCAATGTTTGAATTTGAGAAAAGCGATCTCATCAACTCCGAGACGAGGTGGTATGGAGCGCGGTGCCTTCGACATTCGACATAAATGCTTTGGATGACTCGCCTAGAGAAATTGTTCCTGTCGACATCTCAATGAGTTTGAGCTCGTCTTCGGAGCTTCTCGACGCATGGAAACAAGGGTATTGTTAAAAAGAACAGATGTAAGCCATCAGGAGAAGTGTCTTGTGTAGATATTATCTTTAAGTGAAAGGTGAAAATGATTAGAACACTGAAATGAGAGCAAAGCAAGCATAGAAAAGCCCGATAGGATATCTACCAAATATGTTAGACAGACAAACAATGTAGATAAGAGATCTCTCACGCGACAAGGGCTTTTTCATTCTGAACGTCCATAGCAATAACCATCATATCACTTGATCGCATAGTACACCTTTAGAACATGTCAAATGGAACCTTGACAGAGTGAAAGATTGACATCTACCATGCAACAGTCACAACTGTCAGAACGGTCATGACATGGCCAGTAGCTGTGAAGAAGGCCGAGAAGAAGGCTAGCAAGACCATTGGAAGCAAACAATACCCCAGAATAGACGACGTCTGCGTCAAACTGAGCGGTCCCATTTCTCATCGTTGATCTTTCACCTGATAGATGTCCAACCCCTTTTGTGACATGAGCGTCATCACGAGCCAAAGTGATCCGCAACCCACAAGCCCGACTCCATAGATGTAACCGAAATGAACCTGTTCCACACCATTACCAGCGCAGCGTCAAACCTCTGGGCGTTACCTTGCCCCGCAGCAGCATCGCCCCTCCCAGCATCAAAGCAATCAGAATCGGCCCTGCCATGTCCGAGTCGGCAATGGGCTCCCCGTCGTTGCCCGGGGAGTAGATCATGTCCTTAGTAACTTTCTTCAAGGGGTTCAGAACTGAGATGGTCTTCTGCTTGATCTTGTCGAAGTCGATCCCCAGCTCTTCCAGTAGAGGAGGCTCATCCTCAAAGTTCGTGCTCATATTCCCTCCGATGTTGCCTGAATACTCTGAGGGATAGTAAGCGCTTGCTCCTGCTTGTCCCGAGCTGTACCGTCCATCAAAGGTTGATGTGTCCATGAACTGTAAGTTGCCTGCGTTCTGCTGCTGGGCACCCATGACAACTGAGTGCAACTTAGGCTGTTGCTCATACATTTTGATTGTTTTGCGGTTTCTTCCCTTGTTTCAAATGTCCTCTATGTTACACTTTCCCTTTATTCCACAACAGATCTCCTGGCAATGAAAAGGTTTCGTTAGCCTGTTTGTCATCTCTCAGAGAAAGTTTGCTGTGGGTATTTCTATTCTCTCAGTTTGACTGCAGGACAAGCCATATTGTCTGCTTGAACTATGCTGCTTATTGCCATCATCTTTGAGCAACTATCATGCAAGGAAGCGAAATCTTCGCAAATGCTTCTCGACATGCATCAGTCCCTCTTCCACACATTCAAGAGCAACCTATGGGGTCAACTGGTGGCATACTCGCACAGACCAGCAGACGCAGATGCATGCTCCTAGCTTCCGACTGCAGTGGAATGAAATCCTTCCTATACTTCTGTGCGTCTGCCCTTGCTACTCAATCTCCATGATGATCACAACTCCTTGCTATATCGCTGTCTCTCCAGCTCTCCCTTGATCTCTTTCTCATCTCCTCCTCTCCTCATCTCTATCTTCGTTCTCAAACGTCTCCTCCCCTCCCTTCCCCTCCCTTCTGCTTCCTCCCGTCGCTTTGCTGCAGCCATCAGCTCAGCGGCATTCAGTTGGCGCCAGCTCACACCCGCACCAACCACCAGTGCCCCTACCCTCCTAACTCACTCAATTTGATAGGTCTGCCTCTAATACCTGGGGGTTATCCTCCCCTCCCCCCACTTCTACCTGTATTACCCCTTCATGCTCTGAAAGGGATGGGTGGTGGGTGCCATGCGCCTCAGGCCGCTGAATGCGCCATGGCAACGATCCCCTGCAGTATGAAGACGAGATGTCCTGACGCTACTCGACCCTGAGGCCTCGCTATGCTCGCCTGCATGCGCTCGTTGAAACTCGCCTCATTGCTACTTCTTCTGCATGCCGGGAGCGGCAGGATGCTGTGGAGGCTTTCCCTCCGAGGAGGGGGGTTTGATGTCTCAGAGGCCATGCATGGCAAGCAAGACATCGACTACGAGTACCTCATGAGGCAGCCGGCTTCGACTGCGAATGCACGCACCGTCTTGCCCCCTTACTCTCAACAGGGTGCAGGCTCGGAGTTCGTCTTCGATGAGTACAAGGAGCTCAAGGAAGCCATGATGGACAATTCGTCAGACACGCACAGTAGCTTCAACTCATCAGATGATACGGTACACGGGTTCGACATTCGCAGAGAGGTGCGCTATTGAACCGCTCGTATGTGCTTCACCAAGTTGTGTGAGTGACCCTTGGATGGCAGATCCTTGAGGAAGAGATGTCCGATGCAGGCGACTTGGACGGGCCCATGTCAACAGAAACTGGCCTGAACAAAGAAGCAACGAATTTCTTTCCGATCTCAGTCTCAGAGGACGACATGCTCGCAGCGAACGAGACTCAGGAGGAGCTGCTGTCGAGATACTCCCGAATCCCCGACGCGATTGCGTCTGACGACGACTCCGCGTTGATGGAGGAGATTCAGGCCAGATACGGCCAGGCACTCCATCGTGTCAAACAGCAGTCTCGCAAGAGGAGCTCGACGGTCGAAGATGCGATAAATTCTGAAGAACACCTGGAGCAGCCCCACAAGAAAGTGAAACCAGGAGTTGATGAGTCCTGACAGGCTTCACATGCACCAGTGAATCATTCTTTGAATGACCAAGGAACAAATTTCCTCTAAGAAGAGTATGCTACATTTGGGTCTACAAAGGGATCGGCTCCTCCTCGGGGTCAACCTTTCTTGAAACAAAGATTCCTCCTGTAAATGTGTAAAGTATGAACCATAATGGCACTTCCAAATTGTCGCACCTTCAACTCCAGGCCCAGCTGTATTTTGCTTGATAATCAATAAATCCTTGTCGAGAAAAAGTATATCTGCAAGATGCAATGAGTGAACAGACCCACGGCAGGTCAATGGAGTTATCAAGCAAACCAATCAAAGCAAGGGGAAGTAAGAAGACGCTCAGTTCGCACCGAAGTATGCTGGACTCTCATCGCTTCCATCGAAGAGACTTATTCTTGGAAGATCAATCTGCGGCGAGGGGAGAAAACTGACGTCTTGCCCGAGCAGCGTGCGGGGTTCAACTTTCACCCTCTCGAAGCTTAACGCCACTCTCGTGGGGCTTCTTGCCTTGGCTCGCGTCGTGACTTTCAATCTCAATGTACTCTCAATGGACCTTGAGGGAGGTAGCAAGGATAATGCACGCGGAACCTGGTCGATAACGTTGACGATTTCGGGCGGTCGCCTGATATCCTGATAGATTGCTCCAGCAGATGTGAAAGGACTCGCTGCAAGGTTGAGTACATCGATGGCAGACGTGTACACAAGTCTCCAAACACCCTTGAGATGACAAACTTCGTTGTCTCCATTGACGCCTAAGGTTGGTTCGGAGAAATATTTTATCCGTTCCAACTTTGAGATCAATTTCGATATCTCGTCTCTCTCTTTCATTGTCGCAGAGAATCCTCGATCACACAAGCAGCAAGCCAATAAAAGATTGCTCTTCAGAGTATTACAATCATCATGGACAGAAGACTTTGACGCCTCCTCCTCGTCTGACATTCCTGTCGCTGCCTGACAACTCAACTTGCACAAACTACGCCTTGAGACGACCGGTCTTGTCGTTGGCGTAACGTCTGCAACAGACTTGTATCTGATCATAGCAGTCGGGAGACTTGACAGGCGGAAGCTCTGCGATGGGCAAAAGAGCATCGCAAACGCGGCGAGCATTATAGCGCTGACCATGGCGCTTACGCTTTTACACCCGATGTCGGTGGGGAAACGCAGCGTGTTTTGAACTTTGAAACTTCTGCATCTCATTATTGAACTTTATTGAACTATACCATCAAAGTTTCAAACTTTAGCGGCTTTTAACTCGCGCAGGCCGGGACTTTTGGGCCGGGCCGGCCAGCAGAAGTTCCAACGTTGTGAATTCATGGAAAGTTCCTTCTTCGAGATGTTCTACAAAAGTACCGGTGGTAGAAACTTTGGGTGGTTGACTGGATGAAGAAGGTAAGGAAATGGCATTTTGATATATGCACCAATAGTGTAGGAAGATCTAGGAGCTACCTGAGCTTGTCCAGCAAGCCCTGTGAATCATCCGTAAAAGGTCCATGAACAAAAGGGGGTGGGGTTATATCCTCAGAAAGTAGCTTTGTTGTCTAGGGTAGGGTGCATTGTTCGATTATGCGGGGGTTAGAGGGGTAGGGTACCTTCGGTTCAGCTGATTTGTGGATGGGCCCCAAAACGAGGGGTACTTCAAAATTTGTGGGGGTCGAAATAAGGGTAGGGTAATATTTTCAGGGGTAGGGAAATCTTGCTGAATCATGATACAAGTCTTTCCCTGGGAAAGCTGGGTAAAGGTGGGGTACCCACCGTGATAGGGTCATCTAGAATGTTCCATTCTGTGGTGGGTCATAAAATTACCTGGTGGGTTAAAACTTTGGTAGGTAGGGGTGCTTTTATAGGGCAGGGTGCGGTGTGGATTTGTGGGAGATGTTGGCAACAGCCGTCGCAGTAGATGAGAGCTCGAATGACAGAATGAGAGAATTCCTGTCCATGAGCAACGGCAATTCAGATATGCTCCAAAGGTTCAAGTCGAGGAAGCGATGTGAAGTAGAGATGGAATCTTATCCTGGGATAGTGCAAGAAAACTTGTCTAAAGCTACAAGGGGTCCGAACGTCGTCGACATCAAGGACGTGCGAAATGTAAGTGTTAAATTTTCATGCTGTGTGCACTTTCTTGATGATATTTCAATGGCTGTATAGGCATTGGATAGCTTGTCGTTATGTAGTCCACCAAAGAAACAGTGTGTTGAAAGAGGATTATCCAGGATGGGAATTCATAGTGCGAATTCATGTGATCAAATCGATTCAAGTCCTTCTCTACGACATAAAACAAGGCACCAGGATTCATTTGTCAGGGATTTATGCAGCACAGTAACAGGCAGCGGGTAATGTGTTTGTGGAGTCTGGCGGTGCATAGTATCCTGATTTCTTGGCAGGGGTATGGGTACTGGGACAACGCTTTTGAATACCGAAGATTTTGCTCGAAAGCTTGGACAGTGTAGCAAGGTTGCCCCATGTCTTTGTATGCCACTAGAATAACCTGACCTTCAACTGTACTGCAGATCACTATGCAGGATCATCTATTGGAACCTGCAAAAGCATTTCTACCACCGACCAGCGCGAACAACAGTAAGTGAGATTGTTTTGATGGTTCTTGAAGAATAATTTTTTGTTTCGAAAGTGTATGCTGTTGTGTTGTATCAACCTCCGGACAAGATCGTTAAAGACATACTGAGAAAGGCTTCTTTTGCGAATTCCTCTTCTCTGTCATCAGTGGTACCCTCGGGGAAAATGGACTGCGAACAAGACGATGAAGAGGCAGAGCGTTTACCGCACGAATGGGAGAGCCGAGATTGTAGCAACACAGGAGCCAATGTACATTGCGGCACAAAGGATGTGGCATTGTGGAGTGTTTGGCCTTCACAACTGCCGGATGAAATGTCAGACCAGACAGAAGAATTTAATCAAGATAACAACAAGGATGTTTATGAAATGGGTAGTAACATGATGATGTTAGAGGATATGGGGATTAGAAGCTGCAATGTTGATAATCCGAGACCGATGAGTTGTGTAGCTGTTTAATAGAAAAGAATTTTGGCACTGAGTGGTTCACACCATACATGCATCACCGCAAGCTCTCACAGAACTCGTTCTCATTGCCACTCTCGCTCCCTGGATGCACCCTGTGGGTGACTACCCCTACCCCTTAAATAGTACCCCTACCCAGGTTTTATGCAGATTTCACTGCCTTACCTATTTTAAACCATCAAAAATTGGCTTTGTGGTGTACCCCATCACTCCCTGAATTGTTCTACCCACCCCTGTGTCTTTGAACACTTTCCATACCCTACCCGTTCATGTTTTTTTCTACCCCTACCTTCTGCTTATCGACCCCACCCCACGAAATACACATGTACCCTACTTGCACCCTGGATTCCCGATGGACCACCCCCTGAAGGAACGAAGTTGATTCGTCCCACCCTTCACAGACCACCATGACCCTCAATTAACTATGTCAAGGTACCCCTGTTCGGTCACTGGATAGTACCCCCACAACTGCACTGATTACCCCCACCCTCTAGGAATGACTACCCCCACCAGTATTTGCCTCCAAACCAAGTCTGAGGCTGCAGACCGCGCATGGCGATCTTGGCTGGTCGGCAACAGCAGTCCACATTCTCCTCGTCCTCCTACACCTCCACACCTTTGTTCTCTTACCCGCAGTGCTTGCAAGAATGAGTGTGAAAGAGATGCAACCTTCATGTGCTGTCTGACACAACTTGAGGGAAGAAGAAGGTACCTGTTTGCGGGCCAACCCCAGCGGGAGGGTTCCGAATAGTTTGTGCGCTCTGGGCAGGGAAAGGACTTGTCAGCAACATGGACGGGTCTAATCAGTATGGCTACTACCAGCAAGGAATGGGTGAGATGCAGAACTATCAGATGCCAAACAGCAATATGGTCCCAGTCGGAAATTCCGATGGGGGCTACATGTACCAGAATCAAGGGGGAACACACATGGGAAATTCTCAGGTGAATCATGGCTCTCATATTCTAATCTGGCCATCTATCCTCTAATCTGATTAACTTGTTATCTGCCCCTCGTTGCTTGGTTGTAGCATGTTTCTTGCTCGTATGCTGAGCCGTTGCTTTGTGGTAGTGAAGCTTGTTGTGAATGCTGCTGCCCCTTTAACATCAGCTCCCTCCTCATATGATCTTGATATCGAATTGTTTTGAATTTTGATGTAATCAAAGCCTCGTCTCGTAAACGCTGTCGTTGAGCTTGAGTCGCGAATCTTTCAAGATCTGTGTATTCGGGATCAATCGTTTTGTCTATGCCTGACTCGTTCCATGAATAGATTGTGGACAATAATCAATCAATGCAGCAACATATGATGCCACAGGGGAATGGCGGTATGCAAAATCAAGTGGCTGTCAGCTGGCATGGACTTCCTGGGTTTCACTCTCAGCCTGTCGCTGCCATGCCGAATCCTTCACAGTCAGCGCCTCAACCTAACAACGGTGGCGCCATGAAACGTAGGCTTCTAGACCATTATGATTTTTATCGTACTCCTGATGGGAGGAAGGTCAAGATGGGTGGGGGTAATTACGCCACGGTTTGGCGAGGCTTCTCTAAATTGACGGGTGAAGAGGTTGCATTCAAGATCATCGTGAAGAACGAAGTAACTGCTGCAGAGGCGAATCCGATGCACGCAGAGATCCTCAAGATGGTAGACCACAAGAATATCATCCAGCTCAAAGATTATTTCGATGAAGATCGAGCATTGTGCCTGGTCCTTGAACTGGCCCATGGGGGGGATATCGTGGAAAAGGTTCACAGCGATGGGGTTTTTACCGAAGCAGCTGCCGTTCGTTACTGCAGACAGATCCTGTCGGCACTTGCACATTGCCACAAACGTGGGTTGGTTCATTGTGACATCAAGTGTGAGAATATTCTATTTGCTTCACGGGACCCGGACTCCGAATTGAAGTTAGCTGATTTTGGTCTTGCTCAGCTACTGAGGCGAGTTCGTCATCTCTGCTGACTGTGACCTGATAGAAATTCGTCTATGTAGGAGGGGCGACAAGCTGGTTGCCGGTCGAGGAACTCCCGAGTATGTGGCTCCCGAAGTAAGGTGCATCCATGATTTATCAGGCCTGAAAGTTGTGCAAGGTGATTGAGAGTACGGGCTACGACACTTCAGCGGACATGTGGAGTGTTGGAGTGTTGGTGTACACTTGGATGTCTGGGGTTTTCCCTTTCTCTGTCCCGGACAGAGACAAAGATAATCAGCCAATCTCACGGTGAGATTGGCTGATTATGTGATACACAAAACGCTTTTGCACCGCTTATGCAGGTTGCAGGCATCGACACAGAGAAATTTTGTACAAGAAGATTTCTGAGTGCAACTACAGTGAACAGTACCTTGATCGCGTTTCTCCAGAAGCCAAGGTATGAGCAAATGGCTTAATCGAAGTGTGTGACATATGACATCTGTTCTTTTGCACAGGATTTCATCCGACAGTTACTGCGCAGAGATCCGAAGCAGAGGATGACAGCAGGTGATACAATCGAGGATCGCTGGAATTCCAAAGTGACCACAGAACAGAGCGAGCATTGCAGCACCCATGGATCGCTTACAACACAGCGCCGTCGCGTCCACTGAATCACAACCTTCAGGCAAGGATCCTGATTCTACATGATTGATTCTGAATGTGGGGTATGCAGGCTCTCAGAAGAGTGAGGGAGCAGGTTCAGATTCTTGTAAGATAGAAGCTTGAAGCTGAAGTCTTCCTTGTTGTAGGAGGGTGTATCTCATGCGTTCTACTCTGTCCTTCTCAACTCCTCAGGATCTGGAGAGCAAGTAATGTACCATTTGAGTACTAGTCTGCAGCTGACGGGACTGATCGCCAGGCTCCGCTACTGCTGGCAGCAACCACGCCAGGAGAATCCGGTTCTTGTTGCTTTTGTCTGAAATGTTCTGGTTGCTGATATTTAATGTTCTGCAGAGGACGTGGATATATTGGGCAGAGGTGTAGCACCTTTGATCACGATGGCATACAGGTATCGAGTCCTAAATCAGGCGACATCTTTTCTGACATTTTGGTTGATCACTTCATTTTGTTTTGCGCCTTGCTGTTGTTGTGCTCTGGACTATGACAGTGCTAGACAAGAAGATCAAGAACAAGCTGCGGAATTAATCGGTTTGCACTTTTTGAAACCTTCTCTTGTGCTCTGCGTGGATTGATTTTTCACAAAGCGAATTGCTTACTCCGACGAGAATACCGGGATCGACTAGTGGAGGTAAATCGTCTGATCTTTCTGTATCCCCTGAGATCATTTTCAAATTGATTCATTTGGTTGTGAGAATCCCTTGAATCAGCTTTTCTCAGAAGAATGATGTGATTTGGACAGGGAGGCGTTTTTCGAGCTTTAGCCGAGTTATCAGAGTCACAAAACGTCAAAGTCAGGCCCAAGCCTTTATACACTACTTATCATCCTGACGTCACGTTTTAGGTTCTGAATTTCGTTGGACTTGCGATGTATCGGATTACGTTGGTGAAAGCTCATCGTCATGCAATATCCCAGAACAAACATGTGAGTTGGAAATCTCTTGGACTTGAATCAAGCTGAGCTTCGTCTGCCGTTCATTTTGACGATTCTGTGTCCAGTTTTTGGATCGAATGGTTGCTCTGGGACAAAGCCGAAGCAACATGGTTGCGCGCCAGGTTGCTAAATTGGGTCATTGATTAGTCCCTAAAACCATCAACAGGCTGGAAGGGCTTTCTGTGAAATGTTAAAAGAGGTAAATATTTCCTTTCCAGATTTGATCTGTTGGGGAGCTGACAGAGCTCAAATGTGCAGGAGAGTATCAGGGAGGAGTTGCTCAAGAAGGTAGCAAGAGCAGGAAAATGCCATCTTCATGAAGTGAGAGGAACTTGCAGGGTGTTTTGAAGACAACATGTCGCTTGCTGCAATCTGATATGATTGTGCATCAAGTGAGCGATGAATTTGTTCTGTTGGACCCGCTCATGCAGCATGCAGGCTGAAGCTCTCGCATCATGGGGTTCGCTAACAGAACATGTTTGTAATGTTGCTGCTCCTTTTTCAACTGATCGCCCTCACTGTCAGAAACACCTTCAGTCGTACCTGCTGGACACTGAGGTAAAGAGCATTCATCTTGCATTCGATGTCTCACAGGCATGTCGAAGGTGCAGGCAATCTCTCAGATCCACCGGCTCGTGAGCAGAGAAAGCACTTCGCCCACTACACTGAGCAGTTTCTTCCAAGTGAGATCTGTAAGATGATTTCCCATGTACCTGATGCGAGCTTGGGGAAACAGGCAGCTTTCATTCTGCAGCAATTAACTCTCGATCGGCTGGAGGAGGTTGGTCCGATTATCATCCGAGAAGCTCTCCCGACCGTTGAGCGGCTGTCAAGGTGCGCATGTCGACGATCTCCGATCGCCTTTACCTTGTGCCATGAGCTGATACAACTTTGTCAACAGACACTCAGTGGAGTTGATCAGAGTCCCTGCGATGCGAACTCTTCGGCGATTGATGGTATGAGTTTCTTTGATTCATTTTCACCTCTGCCACTTCCGTCAGAAATCCTCAGTAGTGTTGGTGACAGTTGAAATCCTGACTAACGGCACAGGTCGGGTTCTACGAGGAGATGTGGAACTCATCGTCCACCAGTCTTCAGAATCTGATGCGCGAGGTATGGGGACCTCTCTTCATTGCTGTTTGGTAATTCCATGCGAGCAGATTAAGGGAAGCGATGCCTTTGCCGAGGAGGAAGCAGCTTACAAGGGCGATACCTATAACACTCAGACCGAGTGGCCAACGCTCGATAACCAAACAAATTTTGATGATCAATTTGCTGAGGTGAGCAGGAGGGGGGAAAGGTTCAGAGGAGAAGGAGAACGTTTCGATCTTTCTAATGCGCTGGTTTTTGCTTGATCATATTCCCCTAATATCTTTCACAGATCACGTATGACACGTCAGGGCGTAAACGGCAGCACTCGCCCTCGGAGTTTTTCCCGTGGGACTTTGACGACGGGAGCTCAAAGAAGCAAAGATAGCCAGAGAGGTCAGAGTGCATTCAAAGGAAAAAATCTCCCGACAGCTTCACGTGCGGCTCTCTAAAAGTTCCTTCTTGGCTGCCTCGCGGAAGAAGGTGGTGCCTTGGGGAAGAATCTCTTTCACCCATGGCAGTGACGTCAACTTGTCACTGCTCTCGTCAGCCTGGCGCCTTCGCCTCCTCCTCTTGTTACCTCCTCATCGAGATGTCCAGGGGGCTCGTGAAGCCCAGCTGCAACTCTGCGCGTCGGACAGACTTGATCCTGTCCGAAGAGTAGCCGCGAATGCTGCAAGGACGTCAGTAGGAGGAGAAGGAGGGAGAGACAGAGACCTGCTGACAATCTCTCCCATGGCGACGCGTGAGAGCCTCTCCGGTCCTCCCATGCTCAACGTCCTTGTGAGGGGTGCTGACATACACTGATGCTCGAATGAGCCGGGGGAGAGCAGAGCAGGAGAGGAGAAGAAAAAGACCTCCTTTGCGTGAAGAATGAATACTAGGAGGATGGCGACGACGTCATTGACGTAGATAGGACATCGAACCTGATGACGCATGAGGAGGAGGAGGAGGAGGAGGAGGAGGAGGCTATGGACCTCGTCTCCGAAGAGCGAAACCGGCTGCTCTGCTGTGGCCTTGGCAAGTGACTCGTCGAGGAACTGAAGGAATGGTCAAGGTAACAAGAAGATTTGGGGGAAGGGGGGAGGTTGAACCTGCAGGAAGGACCCGGTCCTCACGCACTCCCGGGGGGGGTTGGGCCCATAGATGAGAGACGATCGGAGGATGACGTGGTTGGGCCATCGATCGCGCAAGACTTGCTGGCCAAGATAAGACATGAGGAGCAAACTTGAGCAAGAAAGTAGGAGACCTCGAAGCGCAGCTTCGTCTTCCCGTACTGGTTAACAGGGAGCGCGTCCTGCCATGAGTTGAGCTTGCGAAGAGAGGACAGGGTGAGAGGTGGAGGAAGGAGGGGAGTAGGATGCGAGGAGAGGAGGAAGGGAGAAGCTGAGAGGAACGAATCTCACGCTCTCCTCGTCGTAGACCGGATGTTGCCCATCGAAGATCTGGTCGGTTGACACTTGAACGAACAGCGCGTCGCTCTTCACCTGCTCAACATCACCTCCTGGAAGCGCCGCCGTCCTCCAACACCTGCAGCAGCGCATCCAGGAGGGCGGTGGGGACGTTGATAGCCTCTGCCTCCTCCTGCTGCTTCTCGCAAGCAGCAGGAGCGGACATGGCGGCAAGGTTGACGACAACATCCGGGCGAAAATCTTCCACCCCTTTGTGGATAGATGAAGCGCTCTGAAGCCAAGACAGTCAGTCAGTCAGTCATTCCTCCCTCATGCTCCTTGCTCTCCGCCTCTCTCCCCCTTGTCCCATCTCCCCTCAATCCGGCGATTTCTTCCTCCTCCCCGCCCCTCCCCTCCCCTCCTCACCGTCATGTCCATTTGGATTCCCGTCATGTTGGCGGGGATGCCTCCTGCTCGAGAGCCGAAGGTCCCCGCACAGACGATGCTCGGATCCTGGTTGCCAGCTTCACAGGGGTCAGAGGTCGAGCAGGGCAAGTTACGAAGCCACACCATTGTGAGCTTGAATGGCGTCCAACAAGAACTGTCCTAGATAACTTCACACCTCGTCAGCAAGAGACTCCCTCCTGCTCCTCGCCCATGGCAACATTTCTCACCCGCTCGCACCGGTCACAAGCACGCGTACAGCAGGAGCTGATCCTCCTTGCATGGTCGCTGTTGACTGAGAGGTCTGTGGACCGAAGAGACAAAGCAAACAAGCGAAAGCTCGCAAACTGATAAGACGCAGTATCTTCGTGCTGCGTTGGGATCAGTCTGGGTACTACCTGCTTGAAAAACTCTCCCTTCCCTCTCCTCCCATTGCAAATCATCCTGCGCCTTCCCCTCTGATCCCATCCCAACCCCTCCCCTCCCCTCCCCTCCCCTCCCTTCCCCTCTCCTCTCCTCTCTTCCCCTCCCCTCCCCTCCCCTCCCCTCTCTCCCTTTGCCCAATCTCCTCCCCGACACCATTGCCAGGGAACTTTTGTTTTATTGACTGAAAAAGAAGGGCAAACCGAACTTTGGTACTTTGCAATGTCAAACTTAAATCAGAAGTATTTAGTTTCACAACACAAACTTTCGCTTGACGGAAATAGTACCTCTACTCTTCGGACCCTACGATCGTACAACCCACCCACATTCCATCTCCAAAGACTGCAGTAGTACCCCTACTATCAACTGATTCTTCATGGGTATATTTCAAATAGAGATCAACTACACCCCTCATTCGAATCACCCCACCCTCCCACCTCTAATTTGCAAGAAGCGAATGACATACCATGCGGGCGCGAACTACCAGACAACAGCAAGCAAGCAAGCAAGCAAGAGACAGCAAGACAACAGACAGCAAGACATGGAGAGAGAGAATGGAGAGAAGAAGGAATCTGAGGGCGGGCGAAGGCTTCAGTGTAGAGCCAGAAAAGAATGGGGAGAAGAAGGAATCTGGGGGCGGGCGAAGGCTTCAGTGTAGAGCCAGAAAAGAAGAAATAATTGGGAAAGACAGAGGAAAACTTTAGAGAGGAGACTGCTAAATGTTTGACTTGCCTTATGCTTGTGCAATGCTCATGCATGAGATAAAAGACTGAGGTGGAGACGAAGAAGATGACCAAGTATGACATGTTGAGTAGAGATTGTTGTTACTTTAGGCTAGAAGTGATCGTGAAAACAGGAGTAGTCACGATTGCGTTTCTTCGGGATGATTGGGAGATTGTTTTAGATGAATGTTCCAAAGGACTACCCAGTGGAAGGAAATTTTAGATGAAGTGATAGAAGGAATGCCGGACAGACAGAACAAAAAGGGAGGATGTTCCATGGAGAAATGTTCTCAAAACTCGTTGTGAGGAGGCATGAAGGTGTTGGTTGCCACTCTGTCTTTCAAATATGCACTGCAGAATAGTAGAAGTAGCATGACTAGACTAGGACAATAATGGAACTTTTTGAAGCACGATTTGGCAAAGAATATCATTCCGAAACATTTGAACTGACCCGATTCAATGCGACTGAAATTTTTAAGTGGGTGAATCCAACTTGCATCTTACGATTATTGTGTCAGATTATGTGGTAGAGGAAATGAATAAGAAAGACGAGAGGATGGAGAAATTGCGGGCGGTTGTGTCGATGGCTGCCTTCTTGGCAATCGGGGCTATCTTTGTTGCTTTGCAACAGCAACATCCAAGTTCTGAGATCGACATGATGGTGCAGAAGGCTGCCATGCAAGGTGATATTCTTTTGACTTTTGCAAGACATCTCACTCTCCATGAGCAGTAAGCCCGAAGAAGGTCATGGTACACAAAGCTGCGAGCAAGAAGATGGTCCTTTGATGCAGCTTTGTATCTCTCCTGAATCTGGTGTTCAGAATCCTGCGACCTGGAACTGGAAGATGTGGCAAGAGGTATGCAGCTGATGCTTTTCGGTTCTTGCTAGATTCTCTCTGATCGTTTTCTGCCGCACCAGGAGGCGAAGAAAGCTTTGCTTCATGCTGCACACCACAAGAAAGTGGTTCCAAAGCAAGCGAACCGACTGAACACAGTGAAGAAGTATATCACTCATGTGGCACGGCAGGTTGATGTTGAATTCAGAGGAGTTGTAGTGTAAGCATTTGACCTTTCTTCAATGCAGGATGCAACCGTTCGCGATCAAGTAAGAGAGGTCATCAAAGCAGCAGAAGCGACTGAAAAGGAACAGGTGACACCTTCCGGGCTATTGTCTTGTGTGCAGTAATTCATTGTCTTCGTGATAGATGATCAATGTTGATAAAAAAAGTCAGAAAGCAGCAAAGGGAAGCAAAGTCAAGTCTTCGCGGGTCCCTCGGTTCATTGACATGGACCTTGTTGATTCAAAGTTGATCTTTCTCCCAGGAAACTCTCGAAGAATACTCTGAAGGTTATGGAGGTGAGAATTTCTTGGGCTCCAGGTGGGTCTTGTTCCTCATGTACGATGGTAGGAGGCCAGGAGAGCTGGTTGGGCGGCGGATGAAGCTGCGCGAGAGAAGGCCAAAGCAGAAGCGAAGAGGTCAGTGAAAGGGAAGGGATTGATGCTTGAGATGTTTTTTTGAGCTCATTTGGTGACAGTTACTACAACCAACTAAGGAAGGAGATGTTTGCAAGGGTCAAGGCCAAGCAGGAGAGGGCAAGGAAGGTGTGTATAGCCTCGGCAGATGGGAGAAAATCGTGCTGAACGACAAACAAAACAGATTCTGATAGCTAGTAAGAACATGTCCGCGTCGCAGGATAACAAGAAACTTCTGAACGACTTGGACGCTATCTACAGTGAGAGCGTTTGTTGAGCAAGCATGCATGACTTCTTCTCAGGTAAAGATGGCCCTCTTCCTCACAAGAATGCCTTGGCAACCTCCAACTCAACCAAGGTGATCAACTTGTAACAACGTCCGTGAGTTTCTAATACGATCCTGCCTACAGACACACCTCGCAGCAGAGCACAAGGTAAGTTCGACCACCATGGTTTTCATCATCATCTCATGTATGATTGTACAGAAGGCGAAACCTCACAGCGTGATGTCTTTTCTTGCGAGCTGGTTTTCTTGAAGGGTTGGCCTTGCCTCATTGTAACAAGTTTTGAACATGAAGTTTTGTATTTTTACAAGTAATGAAGATGCTAAAGAACAGAAAAGACAGAAAATACTACTCTACAACCATCTCAAGAGATAGAGAAGACGGGCCGAAGATCCAGCCCCGACCCCCAGCGCCCTGAAAAATCAAGTCATGAAATGAGAACACTAGGAGGAAGCGAGGTTCGGAGACAAGGATAGTACAACTTAAGGAGAGCAAACACAGAATGTTTCCCGACTATGACTCGTATGCTCTCAATGTGCATGCCAAAGGCGCAGCTGGTCCTTCCCCGGAGGGACGACCATGAGAGCAGCCTTAAGGATCGGGAGGAAGATATCCCAGCGTTGTCTGGACCCTTTCTTTGATTCGTTGCATCACAAGTCCTTGAGTCCTCACTTGCATGATTCTTCAGCTTCTTGTTGATGCGGCAAAGAATGGGTAATTCGCACTGGTCGAGGATGGTTGCGGGGGATCAAACAACAACGCAAGGCGATAGGTCGTGGAGTAGAGCAGAGGAGGGCTGGTTGCATGCAACATTGGCAGATCCACATATAACTAGCACGTCAACAGCTGACAGAGCGAACGACAAGGCAGACCATGTGTGTACAAGGAAGTCTTGAAGCAACTCGAGCGAGGCCTTCTCCTCACCATCTGCTCGCTTTACCCCCCGCGGGGTACGTCGCCCTTCAACCAGTCCCGTCCTGCACGTGAAACGTGTTCAGACGGACGGTTACATTCCGCCGCCGCCGCAACGGTTGGGCCTGGCCGCTGAGCGGCCCCGTCAGCCCGGCCTGTGAGTGACCATTGCGCCGGCCCGGGCCGGGGGCCGGGCCCGGCGGCGCCGTCCGATACTAGGCTACTCGCCGCACCGGCGTCCAGCGGGGCCGGCGGCCACAGTTGGAAATCACTGCCGCTCCCCGGACGGTTCGAATTTGTGGACTCGGGACACACCGTACTGGTTAGCGGACCGTCCGACCGTCCGACATCGGGCCGCCGCCCGGCCCTGCCACAGTGAGTCCGATCCGCCGCGGCAGCGGCCGGCCAGGCTCCAAACGGTTTCGCGCCCGGCCGGCCTCTCCGGGACCCGGCGTCGGCGGCGACTGCCGGCGCGGCCGCCCGCGGCCACGCACCCGGCGTCGGTGCCGGTGCCATGTGACTCGGACCGGCGGGCCCGGGAGCCTACACCTCGTCGATCAGTATACAGTACGGTAGTACTACCCAGGGAGCCGCAGCGCTAAAAAAAAACAGTCACTCTTCGCCCGGTGAGGGCCCGGAGGTCCCGCTAAAAACAAAAAACAGTCAGTACGGTACCGTACCGGGCATCATGGCATACTAGCCTAGTAGACCGCCGGTACTGCCGCCCTTACAATGACCCCTCATCTGCTGGTACGGTACTACCCCACCCCATCCTGTCGGGCAGCATCAGTGAACTCTGGTTGCAATCTTTTTTTCTAGTCATTCATCTACGGCTCCACAGAGGACCACCCTACCCTCAAAAGCCCTCGGAAGACCCCCATATCCCAATGTAGGACTCCTCAGTCAGGGGTAGTCTACACCCCTACCAAGAGGCGTAGATTTCGAAAAGATGCCTTCTCGTCGATCCCTAATGCAGACGTAGAACTACCCCCTGACCTGACGTTTCGCTACTCCCGACCGCAGTGTGTCCATTGTACCCTGTCCTTTTCCATAACATTGCAGTATACAAAGTGGGTACTCGAGATGCAGGTGGCAGGAAATATAGGGTGGGGGTGATGGTATGGAGGGGGTAGGGGGTGCCTCCTTGCTTCTCTGATGTGAAGGTTACGTGAAACCTCCTCTGGTCCACTTCGCCTCCCCTGCCCACGCGTGACTCTTCCTCCGTGCTCTACTCATCTCAGTGAGCTTCCGCGTTCGTTGATCCCCTTCCTGCTCTTGCAGCTGACAGACTCGAGCCTTCCATTCGTCGCAATGACCATGTCCAAGAGGTATTGTTCTCCCCCAAGACCTTCGATCCTGATCCTGCTTTCTAGGTCCCTCACCACCGCACGTGGTTTCCTGCCTTACGTGGTGCTGTTTCTCTCCGTATCAGCATGTGCTGCCACCATGGTCGACAGTCCCGAGATCGGCATCCCCTACCTGTACAAGGGTCTCATCACCTGGGCCTTCTTCTGGGCTTTCCTTGACGCCTTCACCATCGGAGCCAACGACGTTGCCAACGCCTTCGCTAACGCTGTTGGAGCTAGGACCATCTCCTTCAGGACAGCTGTCTCGATCGCGTGCGTTTGCGAGCTTGTTGGTGTGATTGCTCTGGGCAGCACTGTGACCGATGCTGTGCGCAAGAAGATGGTCAAGGTGGACTGGTTCAAGCATGATCCTTACGTCCTTGCTCTGGGCATGAGCTGCGTCAACCTTGGCTCTGGTGGATGGGTGTTCATCGCCACCACGCTGTCTATGCCTGTCTCGACTACTCACTCGGTTGTTGGCGCCATCCTTGGTATCGGTATTGCAACCTGGGGTGCTTCTGGAGTGAACTGGGGCTATGACGGAGGGTTTGGTGGAGTTGTTGCATCCTGGTTCATTTCACCCATCCTCTCTGGAGTGTTGGCTGCGATCTTCTACCTCAGCACCAAGTTCCTCGTGCTCAAGCATCCCGACGATGTCGCCGTCAGGCGCGGCATTGCGCTCCTTCCCGTCTACTTCTTCTTCGCCTTTGGCGTCGTGGCCGGCTTCATGGTCATGAAGGGAATCCCTGCATTGAAGAAGACACCTTACAAAGTTACTGTGCCCGTCACGTTTGGAATTGCTATCTTCTTTGGCATCGTCGGTTACATTTTTTGCGTGCCATGGACTCGTCGTGCTATTGTGGACAACGAGAACCTGCCATGGTACACCATGTTCTACATTCACACAATCCCTGTTGGTTCAATGGGATACGTCGAAGAGGCCCCCACACAAGCCAACAAGGACATCGAAATGAACGATCCTGTCAATGTCCCTCAGACTTCGGTCGTGTACCAGGAGGGTTACAACTCCGCATATCCTGAAGGCGCCATCTCCGGCAGCGCATTCGGCAAGGCTGGGGACAGCTTAGAAGAGGAAGGCGAGAAGGAACCCTTCAACATCTTGAAGTGCATCTTCCCTGGATTCTTCATGGACATCGGAGGCCTCAAGGAGGAGGATGCTGCCATGCACGCCAAGGCCTTCCAGGCTTACTCCAAGACCGAGGAGATGTTCAAGATGCTTCAGCTCACCACCTGCTGCTTCTTCTCCATCTCCCACGGCGCCAACGACATGGCTAACGCTGTCGCTCCCTTCGCTACTGTCTGGATGGTCTACAGCACCGGCACGGTATCAAGCAAGGCGGATGTCCCCATGTGGCTTCTGGTCTACGGAGGTCTCGCGCTCGACGTCGGTTTGTTGACTATGGGCTACTACATCATGGACGCTCTTGGCAACCGCCTGACCCTTCAGTCTCCTTCCCGCGGCTTCTGTATCGAGCTGGGAGCTATGTTCACTGTGATGACCTTCTCTCGTCTCGGAGTTCCTGTCTCCACCACTCACTGCATCTCCGGTGCCACCACTGCTGTCGGACTTTGCAACGGAGACGTCGGAGCTGTCAACTGGAAGCTCGTCGGTGTCATCTTCGGTGGATGGCTTCTCACTTGCCCATGTGCCGGCATTGTGACTGGTCTGCTCTACTGGGCCATCGCCGCTGCTCCATCGCCCGTGGCAGGCAACGGATTCTTCAGTGGTTATCACGGTTAAGACTATTTTTATTGACCGTGGCATCGGCTTTGTGTGAATTGCATGAATATTTATCTATGATTTGTTTGCAAACAATGTTTCACATGTTTGATTTCAAAGGTTGTAATAAACTGGAAAAAGACACTTGAGGGGCCGTGACACTTAGTACCGTTCATTCCCTGAGCTCGCGGCCTCACTGCCGTTTGGAGGGTCACGGGTACCTGCAGATCACCTATGAGGTCACCGTGAGCCGCAACACAAAGCGAAGATGCTGTTGAAATCCTGACGGTGACCCACTGCGCAGTTCCTACCGTCAGAAGGTGCTCTGTTCCGAGCCTTGTGTTGGAATATGTCAGTGCCAAGCGGGGCCAGGCAAGGCAGGGAGTGACGGTTTGCGTACGTATCCTTGTAGGTTGCAATCGGGCAGCGGCGCTGGAAGCTGCCGCAGTGCCAGGCTGGAAGCCGGCCTCCGACCGTACTGTTCCATAACGGTAGAATCCGATGATCCTGGCAGGAGCAGGCCCGCCGCCGTGATGCCCAGTGCACGTCGGTCGGACCGTGGGTATCGGATCCGGATGATCGTCGCACGTGACGGTGCGGGCCGCACTGCGGCACCGTCCCCTCAGTCAGTCACGCTCGGCTGAGTCCCTGGCTGAGTCCAGGCAGCCGCACAGCGGCACCGTCGGCCGGTGTGCCGCAGTGCCGGTCACCGTCACGGTTCGGAGCCTGGGGGCCCGG